AGTTCACAAAAAGTGTCCAGAGACTGGGGAGGATGAAAACGCCCCCACCCCGCCATGGTGCAGGAAACTGACTAGGCCATGCCCCCATGGCCACACCCACCCAGCAACCGGACAGAGACCGGTTGCTAAAAATTTTCAAACCCACCCCTGTAACACATTCCCAGGTTTATGGCCATGTAAGATTCTCTAATGAACTGATTACGGTCAGAAGGAAAGTTCAAGATACGATCAGCCAAGCAAACATTCAGAACTCCCTCCAATGCACATTATTGACTGCCGAGATATTAACCTTGCGGGGGTTATTGGGGGAAATGACCTTCTCCCAGCCTCTGCCTTAACACACACTCCTGAACTTTGCATGAGTAAGCAGATTACTTATACAGCAAGATAATGTTTGCAAGGAAGGAGCAGTAGGAAAAATGGAGACCTCAGTGTCAACATGGGGTAAAACCTTGATATGGAAGCATTTTTCAATGGCGTGTTTTGTGGGTTTGTACTCATTTTTAACAATATTAATTTTTCCAGACTGGGCATCTGCAAGGCACGTACACTGAACCCAGCTGAGTCACCTTCAGGGAATAGGACTATATTGTTTGAGAGCTCAATCCTTCATCAAGCCTAGGGAGGTTTACATTTTCTGTTAATCTCTAGAAATGTGATTGCGAAACTATGGCATGCATATCACAGGTGGCACATGGACCCCTCTCTGCGGGCAAGTGAGGCATCACCCAGCTTAACTCCACTGCACATACGCCGTGCCTCCCGCTAACCACCTGATTTTCCAGTCTCTGCTGCACATGCGCACATGCATGGGGGGGGGGCAGGGGGCGTACAGGGAAGCAGCGTATCTCCTGCCCCCATTTTTGATCCCAGAAAGCTTCACGGAGGCCTGCTAGGCTTAAATTGAGCCACGGAGGGGTTGCAAGCATGCGTGTGGGGGCGTGGGGGTCATGTGCATGCACGGGGAATCAACGTGCATGTGCAGGGGGGTCACACATGCATGTGTAGGGGGCGCATTGCATTATGTGTATGGGCATGAATGTGTGCGCTTTCGGCACGCAAGGACAAAAAAGTTAGCCATCACTGCTGTAGAAGCACCTGGCTATTCATCTTTAATTCATAAATGACTATATTTTAAAATGCTAAGAGAATACGGAACTTGAGTTTGTGAAGGAATCCTTGCCATCAGTTTCAAACTGTGGAGCAATAAAAATATTTTATTAAAAAAGACTTTCTTGACCTGTGTTAATCCGATGACCACAATTGAAATAAAGTTAAGTGAACCTTTCTGAGGTTTGAAGACTGTCCTATCTTAGAACATGAGCCACCCATAAATCTTTCAAAGCTGGGCAGTTCTCGAGGTTACAGGACATCACGTTATGCAACATGGCATGAGAACAGGNTTCTCTTTTACGTTTGTTTTGGCTTTCGTTCCTGGACAAAGGAGGGAGGGTCAGAACACATAGGTATACACACTCCACACACACAAACACACAAACATTCAAAGTGAGACAAACAAGAAGATCCCTACCTACAACCTTTTTTTTAAATCATTGGTCTGGAGGCGTGCGTGCATGCATGGGTAGCGATGCATGCAGACACACAGCTCAACTCACACAAGCGGAAGGCATGCATGCACAGCTCAACTTGTAGTTGAGCTATGTGTGCGTGTAATGCCAGCCTACTGCTCACAGGCCAAGCCACAAAGGTTGGGGAGTGCTGTTTTAGAGTACGGTTCTAAATTACCTCAGAATTAAATGTGGAAGCGAGTCAATCAAAATGTTGTTTTGTTTTGTTTTTTTAATGTTATTTCTTATTAAAAAGGCACAGTGGTTAAGGTGCTGGACTAGAATTGGGAGATGGTGAATTCTGATCTTCCTTTAGCTACCGTAGCTGGCAAGTCCTCTCAGCCAAATCCACCTAGTAGTGTGGTTAAGGAAGCAGCACTGTGTGTAGCTAATCCTCAACTTACAACCACTCATTTAACAACTGCTCAAAATTATGACAGTGCTGGAAAAAAAGGGACTTACAACCCCTCCTTACACTTATGACTTGATGTAGCATCATGTGATCAAACCAGCATCCCAGAATCACATGATTACATTTGCAACTTTCCCAGGAAGCTTCGAGAAAAAGAAAAGTCAATAGAAGAAGCTGACTTTGCTTAATGACGACAGGATTTCATTAATGACCATGGCAAAAAGAGGCATAACTCACTTAAGGACAATGCTTAGTGATGAACGTTCTGGTCCAGTGTTTCTCAACCTTGACAACTTTAAGTCCCGTGGACTTCAACTCCCAGAATCCCCCAGCCAGTAAGTTGAAGTCCACGGGACTTAAAGTCGCCAAGGTTGAGAAACACTGTTCTAGTCCAATTGTAAGTTGAGGTATTTATGCTACACTAAGCATACTAAAATAAAACTGGGATATTTGTTTTTAAGAACATTTTATGTCTTCTTATTGCACAGATCTAAATTGAAATGGCACATGTTTGGCACTGACCGATAAGTAAATCATGATCAGGGAGGGAAAGCAGAGATTAAAAAAATATTTTCCCACTCCAATAGAAAATGCAAATAATTTTTACCTTTAACCATCTATCTGCTCTTTTAAGAAGTGTATAAAATGTGGCTCTATAGCAGTCCACAGATTTATTCATAATTGTTCTGCCCCAGCTAATATAGGAATTAAGAGCTGTCTCCTTTAAGAAACTACCTCATGGGAAATGTAATTACCTCATGGGAAATGTAGTCCCATAACATATGACCACATCAGTACCCCACTGCCCAATCAGGGAGCACAGATGTGGTCACATGTTATGGGACTACATTTCCCATGAGGTAATTACATTTCCCATGAGGTAATTACATTT